GGATTGTGCCATTGAGATTTGTAGAGTAAACTCACTAAACGCCTCATGTGAAGGTGTTTTGTTTGCTATATTGAAATCTAAAGAAAACAAATTAGTCAACAGGTTCATTTTTGTACTTTTTTATTTTCAGAATTTCTTTATATTTCTTCAATTAATGCATTATTCTGTGCATGTATTGGTTTTATGTCATCAATGGATTCCCCATATTCTTTGTCATGAAGATAATGGTTTCTTTCCTTCAACATTTAATTCAATACTGCAACCAATACATGCAATATAAACATATTGAGAAGATGTATGATTGCCATTGAGACAGCTATCTACCAATGTTGAAGTTAAGTGGATGTAAGCAATTACAAGCAATCGTATGGCCTTCAAGATTGCCAAAAAACATACAGTATAGTCGGATATAAACGGCCTTGATATACAAGATATGAAACAATTCAATTGAGAAAACTAATTGATCTAATCAATAAAAAAAAAATTCCGAAAAAAATAGGACAGAAAAAAAACAACTACAACTCCTGAACTACAATCTCCTGACTAGGTACAGGCTCAGAATGCGGCGGGTGTGTGTAAATCTCATTACATAAACTGCTGCGTGATAAAGGAATTAGGTATTGGCAATTCACTTGGAAACTCAACATATACCCTCATGACATTTACCACAGAGGAAAACTTGGATAATCATAGGTCTGTTCTATGTTCCTTTGTAATTTTAACAAAAGATGAAGAACTGTATCTTACATCACTGTATTGGATACCTAAACTACATAAGTGTCCTTACAAACAACAGTATATTGTTGGGTCTTCCAATTGCAAGTGCTCCACGAAACTTCTTTCTAAATTATTAACACCAATTTTATCATGTTTATCAACAATCACAGCCGGGCTTCAAACATTTCAAAGTTATTGTGAAACTGCCTATTCTAGAGGTGGCGTGAATCAGATGTGGATACTCAAAACATCCAAAGATCTTTTAGAGTACAAACAATTTTTTCTGCACTTTATTCAAGTATTCCCCATTCCTAACCAAACGATAAATTGAAAGAGTTGGTGTTGCTTTGTTTCATAAAAAAGATTCTTTTGTACATAAATTAAGGCGTCAGTTTTCTCGTTTGAATTGTTTTACATTTGTTATTTCGGGGCGGTTTATTGCTGAGTATGCGGTATGGGTTTTGCTCATTGTTGAAGCGTACGGTGACCCATAGTTGTTAATTTCTGTGTTATTTGGTCTCTTGTAGAGAGTTGTCTCGTTGACAATCATACCACATCTGGTTTTTTTTTATACGAACGTAGACATAAGTATCTTGTCTAAGTTGGGAAAAATCTTACTCTGTAAAGAATAACTCTGATTTAAACAAAGGGATCCACTCTTTCAGCCTAAGAGTGGATTTGGGATCCACTCTTTCAGCTTAAGAGCGGATTTGTTGCAGATTTTTCTCCCCACCTTTGCTATTCTTTGTCATTTATTCAATTGATATGATAGTAGTTGATGTAATTTCGTATTAATTATGTATTATTATTTCATATTTAATATGAACTTTTATGTCAAATGTTTTATTTGCAAAATGTATTTTTTGCATTTTATGATTTTGAATAAATGACCTTTTTTCGTCAGTTTAGTTTTTATATCATTTAGCAAATCAAGCTCAAACTCTGGCCTGTGTATACATAGTATGATTATGGTATCTAGCTGTCTGTCTTAAACTTCTATCTACGTTCGTATAAAAAAAAAACAGATGTGGTATGATTCTCTGCTGTCTTAAATCATGTTGTTCAGCTTAATTTTCAATTAGCAAATAAAATTGGTTATCTTGTCTAAGTTGGGAAAAATCTTACTCTGTAAAGAATAACTCTGATTTAAACAAAAAAATCTCTGAAACTAACATTATCAAGATGCCTGATTTCTTGATTGACAATGTATGTTTTACGTTTGGAGGACGTGTTTTTCAACAAACTATCGAAATTCCCATGGAAACCAATTGTGGCTCTCTTCTTACCGACTTGTTCCTTTATTATAATGAGGCTGACTCCATACAGGAACTTCTTAGGACGAAAGATAAGCAGTTAGCATTATCCTTTAACTTTAGTTTCCGCTATAGTTGAACGCATCTATCCCATAGAACTAGAGATAAAGGATACAACAGACACAGTTAAGTCTGTCTCATATCTTAACTTACATCTAGAAATTGACAATGAAATTCGTTGAAAACAAAACTGTACGACAAATGAGATGATTTCTGCTTCTCAATTGTGAACTTTCTATTTCTATGTAGCATTATACCAGCAGCGCCTGCATAGAAAGCATATATCTCCCAATTGATACGATGTAATATCTATCATGGTTTCTTTGATAGAGGGTTGCTGCTCACAAGGAAGCTATTAAACCAAGAGTTCCAAACGGTGAAATTGAAATCATCCCTTTGTAAATTTTACGTATGCAATCACAAGTTAGTTGACCATTATTGACCGTTTCACAGATGATATCGGATACGTTCCTTATGTCGTAACTAAAATACCGTTTCCTTTTCAAGAATGTGACCTACAGAATTATACTTTTTTTGGTGGGGTTCGTGCTGCTTAGCATTCGATAGAATGTAAAATTGAATACTCTTGCTTCTCAAGGAAAATGGTAGATATTGTAAATGCAAATACACACGAGCTAGATTTTACTGTAGGCGACAATTTTTATTTATCTAGAAGACCTGTTAGACAAGGGAAGAACTTCCAGCATATTCATGATGAATCGTTTACTATAACATGTCTCGCGAGTGCACATATACTTCGTTTAAGAGATCTAACAAAAAAAAATTTCACCGTCCCGTGCATATCAATAGATTTAAGCTTGCACATATAAGGGTCCCTTTACCAGTACCCTAATTAAAACTACAAACCGATGAAAGTGAAAATTCTATCAGTAAGTCAGACAATAGTTCTAGGTCCGTTGACAGAGACAACTTGAACAATTCTAAGTCTGTTTTTACAGAAAGTGAAGCAATGGATAGAGATGTGGTTTCTGAACATGATACTTCAAATATGAAAAGACAAAAAAGTAATATACAGAAAACCGTGCATTACCGTGATGACAAATTTATTCACCTCAAGAGAATAGTGAAATTATAAGAAAACAATGAACTGAAAGTTAAACGCATTCTTGCCAAATGAAAAGACGGTGCAACTTCGTTTACCTGATTCAGAAAGTAGGAGAGCCAGCACAGAATGCATTTGTGCTACCTTTATCAACATTGCAACACAAAGCCCAAACCTGGCCACTTTCAAGACCACCGCCGTTGATTAAGTAGATATATGTTGAGTAACATTATCGTTCATTCCGCATGATGATGATTGCATCGCCAAAACATTATTGCAAAGTCATATATTGAAAAGTTATTCCAATGAAACAGTCAGATTTATGCATTTTATTTATAGTAAGTGTGAAGAACCTGTTTTTTTTTATATTGATATATCATAAAATTGCTAAAGACTAATTTTGAGGAATCATATTATTTGATTTTTTTTGGTGATGATTGCATCGCTAAACAGAAATAACACTTTGCATACAACAAATATCAACGATTGTGTGCTTTATAAAGTAATGATTGCAAATTTGAAATGTATCTATTTTATATTGATGTCTACATGACCAGTGACCAAACTAAAAATTTGGTTGGGGGATGTTATATACCTCTATTTGGTATTCTTGTAACAGAAAATGAAGGACATAATTTAGCCTGTTTTATGCTATTTAACGAGACTGTATTATTTTCTTGCAGGCGGCGAGCAGTAAGTGTCCTCTGCACGACATGTGGCTGTTTGATGGCAGAAGAATAAAATTGAAATAAGTAAAAGCGTGACTTCAATTCATAGTTCCCCCAGACAACATAAGGATTGAGGCGTACGACAAAACGGTAAACTACTGTCATCTTTTATCGTTACAAAGAATATCTCAGTAACTAAAACGTGGTATAAAATGACAGAATTAAATAAATATTTAGTCCTTTTTAGGGATAAATAGGAATTACTGGAAAAAGGTGTACGTAGTGAATAAACCTTTCAAACATTATAAAAGAGGGGCGTTAGATTGAAGAGGGACATTCAAACTCATAGATCATAAATAGACTGACAACGCCATAGCTTCAAACGAAAAAGACAGACAAACAGTAGTACACAGGACACAACATAGAAAACTAAAGACTAAGCAACACGAACCCAACCAAAAACTAGAATTCAGATGCTCCGGAAGGGTTAGCAGATCCTGCGCTGCATGTGGCACCCGTCGTGTTGACCCCATATTGTGTACACTACAATGCAAACGATGTAAACACAATATTGATAATACATTGTATACATCGCAATGTTCACGATGTAAACAGTATATAAGAGTTGTTACAACGATATTGACAATATATCTTGTTAACATTTTTAATACCGCAATGTAAACAATGTAAAACTACATCGTTACTACATCGCGATGCACACAGTATTAATGTAAACGATGTATACAATATAAAACAGCTGTTACAATGTAAACAACATTGTAAATATCGCGATGTCGACAATATTGTTTTAACATTGTGCACTGAACGGGGATGCGCTTTACATCAACCCTACTCCTAATCCGCATTATTTTACCAATACCATAGCTCCAACATGTTAAACTGAATGCAAGAAGATGAGATGGGTATACAATGTCTCGTAGATTAAAAAAAACATTTTTTATTTTTGAAATTATTTATTGGCAACATATAAGTTTGTGTAAAACATAGAAAGGATCGATGATCTGTTTTGAAAAGGATACACATGTTTTTGTTCTGATAGTTGGATGCTAGAATGAGCGGCGCTTGCTAATGTATTAAACAAACTAGAAAAAAGTAGCTAAATGCGTAAATGTTCTAACATCCCTCAAAATATTGCAATGTTATTCTTTACAATGTTATACAAAGGGGGCAGTATTGTGAAAATATTTAACGACTAGGCAAAAACCAAAGAAAACGTCATATAGTAAAATTGAACATTTATTTGATAAAGCAAAAGACTTCTTGACAGTATTATAAACTCTATCATATGTCTATTGTCACTGCTCTTTTTCCTTACATGTAACCGCCTCTAAACACTAGAATGTAATATCCATTCATCTTGAAATAGATGTAATAACCTCTTTTATTGGATATACTGAACAAAAAATATGAGCTGCTCAAAACACAGTTGTATTTTCCAACCATATATTTGTCTAGCCTTTTCTTGATATGAATCGCCATTTCCCTAGGCTTGCGAACATAAAGTATAGCCTCTCTTGCAAACGTGAACACAGTATTTTTCACTGAGCTACTCATTGTTTGACCTAGTATATGGACAGAACTGTATCTTTTTTGTTTCCTCACCCCTGGAAGGACTTCTAAAATATGAAAAAAATATTTTTATTTCTTTTATCTGAAGAGTACATTTATTAACTACTGTGTATAAGTTTTTAATTATGTTTGATACCAAAACTGTTGTGAAGATGTGGTCAAAACGTCATGGAAAATGAGTATATTCCTACTATTTAAGAAAGGTTTTAGGGTGCTCAAGATTGTCATTTTTATAATTCCTGGCTAACGTTAATGCTGTAAAACATCTATATTCAATACAACACTGGTAAAAAGAATAGTAACAAAAAATAACGAACTCCGAGGAAAATTCAGAACGGTAATTGCCTACTCTAATGGAAAGATCAACAGCTCAAGCACCTCAAACGAATGGATTACAACTGTCATATTCTTGACTGGGTAATATGCATTTTCTGATGTAGAAAATGGTGGATCAAACCTCCTTTTAAATTTAGCTCACACTCTCACTTGTTAGACAGTCGCATGAAATTCAAAATGCAAATGTAAGCAAGCAATGTTAAAAGGTTCTATAGTGTGCGTTTAATGTTAAACGAAAAAAATGATTCGGTACTTATACATCCCTCGGATTTCAAATGTTTGGCTTTGAGCGTTCCTGATGAAGGTAAATCCAGAAAAGCGCTTCGGACGCATGAAATTATTAAACGTGTTGTTTTCAATTTTTCCATAATTTGAGCTTTTTATGAAGATTAAAACTAACGAATTGTATTTAAAAAAAATGAATCAAATTAATTAAAAAAAATCTAAATGTCTTAACAACAATAAAACTTACCTGGCGAATCACTCTCGACATACATCTTTTTTAATCCTAAAATAAAATTACTTATTGTTAGATCATTACGTTAAAGATAAATAGAGCATTTTTGAAAGTGTTTTCTTGTGGTATATCAAAGCTACAGGTGAAAAAATTTTACAAGGGACTGACCGACTGTGGGTACCAAAAGGTGTTTTAAACGAGAAAGAAAAACCTAAAAATATACATTATCGTAATTGTATACCGTCAAGACATATTTTTTTCTGGAATTATTTGCTGGAAGTTGTATTCCATTCTACCGTTTATGTTAAATTGTGATGGTCTTTTCTAATATTTTTATGTTTAGTCAAGTTTGAATATTCATTATCTATTCGTAAAACAGGATGTTTATAAAACAATTAAGAACTATCGTTCTGATCGAAAATTAATCTACAAAAGTATTTAAATATTAAAATGAACATAGTTTTTAAACAACAGAAATTAAATACAGCGAATCATACACTCATTATTGAGTATTATTGCATCGAAGCATGCTTACTTTATCATCTACTTCAAAATATAATTTTATAATAACGTTATTAATTCCGGAATTGTGTTTCTGAAAGAACTTCTTATGTAGGTAAATTCAATATGGTAAAACGTATATACTATTATTTTTTTAATCCTACATGTTTTGTTCATTTTCTGCCTATTAATCCTTCTGATTCATGTTTTGGTTTTGCCTTATCATTTTAATTCAACCAACATGTGATAATAAATATAACCAGAGCAAAATTTCTAGACTCAATTTGTGAAAAGTGTTTTTTCTGTTTTAATTTCAGTTTTGTCACCTCAATAACACATTTTCTGCCCCAAATGTTGTTTTGATAAATTGATAAAAATATAAAAATAAAGTCTTGTGCATATTTTGGCATGAATTTAAATGAATCCAATCTGATGTTCAGTCTCTTAATCAATGTTTCTACATGTAGATACGGCTGGTTAATTTTGAATTTTTGAAATGTCCGCATTGTCGATTGTCTCTGTAAACCCGTGGATTAATTTAAAATATACTATAGTTTTTAAAATATTTAACGAAACAAGATGATATGAAAATAGTATCAATCGAAAGAAGAGGTGCGTTGTTGGGTATGTTTGATGTGTTATTAGATAAGAAACATATATTTTTTAATTTTGTTCTTAAATAATTTAGTTGTATTTTAAACTTTGTAAAATATCTAAAAATAATTTAATTGTGGATGTAACGCGTCTTCTGATTGGCTGACAGTGTTTTGTCTATCAACTCATAGACATAATTTTGTCATGTGACCATGACGTCATCAAAGTTTTTTTTATGATTTACTCCGGTTCAAAATGCAATTTAGAATTAAATTTTAAGGAATGACTGTAATATTAATTTTCTGTCTATTCGACATAACATAAAAAATGTTGTGCACACTTTACTTTAACACGCTACGCGGGTTATTCAGTGTGCACCAAATTTTTTATGTTATTTCAAATAGACAGACAAAATTTAACAGTCATTCCTTAAAGAATAAAACATCTCAAAAAGACGTAAGATAATGTTCTATACATAAGTACTCCATGTACCTTAATGTCAACTTTTTTGCTTGAAATTTTTGGTGAGCAACAACTATTGCTATCTATTTTGTATATCCTTTGAGGAAGTTTTGTTAAATGTAATCCAAGTTTACCCATGAAGTGACCAGGATCTCGAAAAAAATGTTTAACTTTTGAATCGATTTGAATCAATACTTACCATTTAAGGTTTTATTGTCGGATTGTCTCTTGTTTATTTCATAATCCAAGTCAGCTTCAACTTCTGTTCTTTTCACGGGTGCTAAAATATTACAAAACACATTGTGACTAAATTCATTTTTGATTGTCTTTTGTTTACATTCAAAACAAATCAGTTTAATATATAGATCTTGTGAATGTGTTGCAGTTGCAATTTTTTCGTATATTCCTTTTTATTTAGTAAATTAGAGCCATATCGGCAACTGTAAATTTAAGAATAGTTACTGTATGTTTTCTAGAAGCCCACAATTAAAGTTATAAAATAGTAAAACTCAATGTTTTTACACCATGACAATTGATGGTTTTACTTGGAAAATGTATTTGTTTAAGTTTACTTTGATGAATAGAAATATAAGAGTTGTTAATAAAATGGTGTTTTATTGCAAATAATGTCATACGTAGTCTGAAGATTTTGAAGACAATAATATTATTCCAGTAGAATGGTGATGTATTTAGGCAGCAGTATTTTGTCAACGATCAAATCACATAAATCAGTGAGGGAGACACACATTACGGTAACATACAATCCTTAAGATGTAACAGTAACTCCTGAAAAATACTTGTATCATCCACTTCGAGAATGCGCAGTTAGCATAAATTAAATATCGAACTCCAGGGAAAATTATAAACGGAAAGTCCCTAAGCAAATAGCATCAATCTTTATAATGAATAGACATTTTTCAAATTGTTTTGTATGTGACAAATATCACAAACTCTCAGTGAAGACAATTCCTCGTTTTAAAGCTAAAAACTAAATCTTTGTAAAACTAAAGTTGATAATAGTAAAACATTTGGTCGTTTGCAAAAAAGAAATTTAAGTTACAATACCCCAAATATAGACATGTAAACATATCCATAACTCTAATTAAGAAATTTACATAAATATGGTTGTCTCAAACAGTACAGGTATTTCTTTTTCAGCAAACATTTTTAAGTTATATTTCAAATGCATAAAAGGTTAGATTTTACTACATGATATATCTCCTTCTTTACAAATACATCTTGAACAATTGATAGAAATCATTATGTCTTCAAACAGACAATTAAGGGTTTGATACATTTATGTACATATACCAAGATCATATGAGCTGCGAATCAAGTTACATTGTAACCTGTTTGTTTTAAATAAAATTTAAAAACTTTCTTTTGACCATAAATTTTATTTGAACTTACAAATTATTACAGCTATAAAACATGTATGTGTGAGTCTACTCAGGGAAAGGCCCATAATAAGTGAGGAATATGACAGTTGTTTCTATTCGTTTGATATGTTTGAGCGTTTGATTGATTTTGACATGGTAAGGGACTTTCCGTTTTGATTTTTTGTATAAAGTATTAACATATTTTTTAATACTACCTAATGTAGAGATATCAACCAAAAGGAAAACCTGCCTAAGTTCACAAAATATAATGGGAAATGCCCTTCTATTCCTAAAAACCTAATGAGATGTGGCAACGTAGACAAAATGTAAATAAAAAGGTTTTGCATCTAAACATTGTTGACTGAACGAAATTTCATCCTATGATATCAAAACAATATGCAGTCACTATAGTTGTAGAGTAATTAAATACATGTACTTGATGTCATATCAAAATGTCTTTTAAAATGAATTTAAAAAAAAGAATCACATTATTACGATTAAAAATAATATTTAAATAACGAAAGTATAAAATTATTATGTTAACTACTTACTTTCACTGTTTGTTGCATAACAACCTTTCATAAGAAAAGCTGCAAATACGACAAAAACCAATTGATTCATCTTTGATTTTGCTGAAAGTGCACAACAGAATACGATATTCTAATATTTTGAGAACAGATATGTATATATATAATATATATATGATAATATAATAATTATATAGATTTGTAATTGATATGGTTTCATTTTTTCTTATGTATGTAACATTTGGCTACAGGTAAAATATATTTTTATTGATAACATGCAAAAGGAAACTTATCAAGAAGTTGCACACAATGTCATAGGAAGCAGCCCTGTTGCTCGTAATAAAACATTGTCAGTAATTCCAATTGTTTCAACCAGGAAGAAATTGCCAAACAAATCTGAACAATTATAATCCATTAACGTGAATGATAAGAAATATATATTGAAAAGGTCTATAGTATGTGGGTATAATAACAATCTTAATTATGAATAAAGAAATGAAAGACAGCATATATGATTATTCTAATATGCAGAATCATATGTCTATGTTTGATCTAAGTTTTTCCTAAAAGAAATATCAGAAAGGAACTATGAAGGGGACTTCAAGTATTCATAGTAGTTAAAAAGTTTTGTCTGTATCATTTCAAATAGTACGACTAAATTATTTTCGGAAATATCCGTGTCAGCTATTACTTTCAATTTCTGTTTGCAGAGGAGTAGTTTGAATGTCCCTCTGGTATCTATTGCCTATCTTTAAACGTTGTTTATAAATCGTCCTGATTTCTTTACGATAGGGCTGATAACACTGAAAACTGATGGCAATCAAAGGCACATCTAATTTCTTTTTACTGGTCACATATGAATTTCTTCTTATCTGAAGCTACGAGAAAATATATTAACAAACTTTATCGTTTCATTGTAATCATTTGACATAGCTGATGACTACAGTGGCATGCAGTTTGTCATTAAACCTTATTGGAAATGACTATTCATCTTGCTTCTCTATTAAAAAATCTAGTTCAAACTAAACATGTTAAGCTAAACTTTGAAGGAATAATTTTCGGTAAGGGTGTCGGTATTAATTTCTTTTTTTCATTCAGATCGGATGAAAAAATAGTTCTTGAATCTGATGGGTCAAAATATTTTATTTCTCCTCCTAACCTGTAAAGCAACAATACCTATTTTATCACTTTTTGTTTGGGGACCGTGTTACACAATTCTTTTTTTTTGTGGTGATCAGGAGGGTTATATGGTTATTGTGGTGGCACATGTTTTCAATGAAGCCTATGATGAAACTAATATTCATCATCTCCTCTGGAAGCACATGACTTATATTAATCATATTTGTCTTGAATAACACAAGAAAGGATGTCTATATTAGTTTATTGTTTTTGTTTTCTTTATCATGACAACTGAGGTACTTTTCGATTCTGAATTGGCAAATATCTTCAATTTTGTTCGCTATGATAACAATGTAAATTTTGCAAGAATATTGTTCCACTTCTCTTTACCAGATTTGTGCACATAATATGAATAATACAGTAAAATATTTTATGCAGACGACTCCTATTTTATCGTTTGATACGTTTTATTTTATATTTTGCATATAAACTTGTACCAACAATTTTTATTATACCAATTACTCAAAGTCCCAATATACCTACTATTGAAATACTGTAAGATTCAATAAGGCTATGTTATAAAATCAACATACTGAACTGTTCAATTTTCTAATGGCAAGTCCTTTTCGCATGACTGTGTCTGTTAATCCGACTCAACATATTACCCAAACTTAAACGTCCATAAAATTGTCACAATAATCGTCAAACTAACTATTAAAATATATGGATGTCCCAATGGATTTACTTGATAAAGAAATATTTTAATAAATTATTGAAACCTAATGTATATTTAATTTAAAATTTGATAAGAAATGTATTCTTGTTTAATATTCTTTTATTGCTTATGTATGTTTAACCTTGGTGAGTTTGTCTTTATTACATAATAGATTAAGCTTTTATTTTTCCCTATACACATGTAATGAGTTGACATGCATGTATATAAGATTGGTCAAATGATATAGGTAACAAATGTGACCTAGACAGAACGGCCCCGCGTCGATAAGTCCTGCATTACACATGTCATGGTTAGTGTTCATTTAAAAAACATACTAAAATTTTCAAATCATTATAGTTTGAAATCGACAATGACGAAGTTCAAACTTACACATCACGACAACCTTAAAATTATTGTTTTATATATAAACAGGCAGAGCTGGCCTGTCCATGCCATTGTCAGAAAGATAGCTGAACGAGGCATAAATGTTACCTGGAGTACCGTTAAGCATGTTATAAAAAAGTACCGATCCGGCAAATAGACCAAATACTACCAACTGTCAAACTTATTATCGATCATGACGTAAAAATAAAAAAAAAAAGAAAACACTTTCAGAAAAACCAACCCGGACATCTAGTGATATTCGCCGTCTTTTGTCCGAAAAGGGTACACACGTCAGTAAAACAACAGTACTTAAGATTATTGGTGCGGCTGGGTACACTGCAACATCGCCAAGATATGGACAGATGGTACGTGATGCTAACAAAATAAAACGGGTCGCATTTACTAAAGAAAACATTGTCAACTTTTTTCTCCGACGAATGTTCCGTTCAGCTGCATGACAACAAGATCGTTATCTACCGCGAAAGAGAATCAGTTGCACCAGTATAAACTAAACCTAAGCACCCGATGAAGGTACAAGTTTGGGCTTGCATAAGTCGTCGAGACACAACGAGTATTCTGATATTCGAGAATATTATTACATCAGCATTTTACATTTACTCTATTTTGGTGTCAAACCAGATTCTATTCATTAATCGAGTAAACCCTGATACTTATCGCTTTCAACAAGACAACGACCCTAAACATACCTTAAATACTAATGAGTTAAAAGCAGCAAAGTATAAACTGGTGGTATAATTGGCCAGCAGAAAGCCCTGATTTCAATTTGATTGACGTGGTTTGGCGAATGAAGTCAAGAGTGTCTAAAAAAGAGCCCAAGAACAAAAGAAGATCTAATCGATGGCATAACGTCGTTTTGGAGAGAAGATACGACAATTGCAATATGCAGTACTTTCATCGACCACCTTTGGATATTGTTCTCTTTCCTTTGATACACTGTTTATAATATATATTAAATGAGAATTATTGAAATCAAAGGAAATATTTGCATTACATTCCCTTTTATTGATTTAAAAAAATAAATCGAAATGGAAGAAAAAACGACGGCCACCAATGGGTCTTCAACATATAAATGAACTAAAATAACAAAACACACAAGACTGACAACGGCAAGAGGCTCCTGACTTTGGGCAGGCGCAAACATGCCTTTTTATTAATATTGACCATTTTAACTCGGAATATTGATTAATATATTACTTTAACAAGAAAAGTGAGATTTACCTTTTTAAATGCTTATACGCTTGAATGTTGATAGACATGTTTATAGTAGTGGTTTTTAATTGAATGGCTTGTTGATCACTGTTTATCTCGCAAACAATGAATAAAGTGTCCGCTTAAACAAGCTGGTGATTTTTTTTACTTTCTATTGCTGGTTTTGCATTACTTCTATGCTAAACAGTTATTTGAACTTTTTTTTTAAACTGATGTTTGATTGTCTGTCCGTATATGTTATTTACATATATGTTTTTTTTTACTATTCTTTTTAATTACAAACAACCTTTTATTGGAATACCAGTAATGCATGTTCCTAAACATTATCTTAATTGAAATGTTTCCTTCCTACATAGAAATCATAATAATAAATTTGCTATATCTCAAAAATTTTATACTTCCAATTTGTTGTTTCATCCAAAAGTAGGTTTGATTCTTTACTGAAAGATTTTGAAATCTCTCGACCCTATTTCTGAGGAGTTCTTTATTATATTTTTGACTTCTCAATCTTTTGATTTTATTGTTTAAATTAATTGTTCCTTCATTTATTTTCCTTTGATTCCTTTCACGTCTTCTATTGCTTTTGTTAAATCAAAAGACACATGAGCTAATTAACTTTCCTGTTTAAACGAAATATGTATAAAACTGCAATATGTTATACAAACCGATTAACATATCGTAGCATTTTTACATAACGATATCGGAATATTGGTATTAGTCGGATCTTTACATATAATTGTGATTTGTTTACAAACCGGTATTGATAAAAAATAATAAACAATGTCGAAATGTTCAGCATTTGAATAAATCAGTATTTAGGTAAGTTGATGCAAGCATACGATCTCTATTGCGTCTTACACTTTGAAAAGCAAATAATCGTTAACTAATTTATCATAATATTGTATAAAAACGTTAATTGTGAGCTATGAAAGTCAAGTAGCTCGAGCATTTTTCTGGGTAAGTTTTAAAAAATTTCAAAGAAATATTCTTTACTGTGGGTTAGCATACATAAGTCTTCACTATCCTATAGATTAACAACTTTTGGTTATATTTATAATTTAGAATCTTCATTGATGGTGGAGCACGAATGCGCAGTAATTAATTATGTTGATGTGTCATCTGTATGCAAGAGTGACATTCCTTTGTATTATGTTCCGATTTGAAAAAGTCAATCCAAACTATGCGAGTATTGTCTCCCTTGGACAGGTTCCTAATTTTATTTGATTTAATTTTGAATAATTACAAAATTTATGAATTCAATAGATTGTAGTTTTTGTAATTGGTGTATTAAAGACATTGATGTATGAATATCATTTCATAAATTTGAAACGTTTAAAATTATTACATACCAATATAAAAGAAACGTTCATCATTTTTAAATATTATTTAGTTACCCACATGTGTTTACGACAACGACTTGCAAGACTTTCTCACATGATAGTGTGTGTAGTGATACACTGTACTGAAATAGACTTTGTCAGCGCAATGCCTCAGAAAGAACAGAATACTGTCTACATATAATATGAGGTAAAACATTCAGGTGATTAAAACGCGTGTAATAGACAGATACAGTCATTCAGCTGTCATGGATACACTGTTAAATAAATTGTGTCAATATCATCTAACCTGCAACATCATTCATCCTGCTTTAATATGGTGTATACAATTTTGTCAGCAATTCAGAAAACTTAATTTAACTGCATTACTCGATCCCTAATGACAATTATATGAAAGAAGTGTAACACCCTACCACAAACACACATACGCACAAACACAGAACACCATAGCCACCACTTTATTCAAACTTATGCCAAATGATTTAGTGAACAATTATAATTAGAACATACAAAAAACATTTTTTACTTTTTTAAAAAAGACTATAAATGAAAACTGAATTATGTTATCTCCCGATAATGATAGTATGTTGGGAAAAGTAACCAGAATTATCTAATATCAATTACAGAGAGGGGCTTTCAAACAGTTTTTAATTATAGCTGATTTAACGTTAAAACAATTTTCCACTATAAACGAATGTTGCTTTATTCAAATATAAGGAATTTGTTAGCTAAATCTTCGATATTATGAATTTTTATTACAATAGATAAACATGCTACATATTGCACTTCATGTTTCTGTATAAAATATCGACCTTATACTTCTATTGGTCTTTAATATATGTATCCATTCACTTTTTAAAAGATAACGTGGGAACAATTGAAATAAAATTAATCAGTTTAAAACATCAAAACTTTGACTTACAATGGGTTTCACAAATATGCATTAGAATAAGTGAAAGACTTAAGTAGAACAGAATATTATGAAAATTTGGTTTTAATTGAAATGGTTCAATCAATATTTGCCCTTGTTTTGTCTGAAAGATATTATGCTTCTTCACTGAACGCTTTTATATTGCTCTGACCTCATTTAGTGACAAATAACATAAATAATTGGTTTTTTTTTTATTCCTTTTAAAATAAGACATGTATTGTCTTTCAAAGTTATATTCGTGTGTTTTCATTGTTCAAATGCATTGTTCCTTTATTATTTTCTTTTTGTTTCTCTCACGTTTTCGTTTGGTTTGTTAAATCAAAAGAGATATTAACTTACAACCTTTCCTTCTAAAACAAATCATTTAAAATAACAATACGTTAAACAAACCGATTGATACATCACACTTCATATTTCTGTATATACAATTAATGTTATACTTTCTATTGGTCATTGGAACAATTGAAATGAAATTAACCTGTTGAAGATAAAAAACAGAAAAACCTGACTGAAAAAAAAAAATGTTGACAATATACATGTATTGGAGAGAGAAGACGAATTTCACATATTTGGCTTAACGATAGATAAAGATATAGAATTCAGTAAGGTGAGTATTTATTGTAACAAAACGAAATCTGAGATATCTCAACTAAACTAAATTTGTTTAGCATTGCAGAAATAAATTTAAAGCATGGTGTTTGTAAAATTATCGTTCAATGTCCTCGACAATAACTCTTACGGTTCATAACGCTGCAGTATTCTCGGAAAAGATGGCGTTATGGGTTCATTTCAATAATACCGCCACAATATTTAAAAAAGACTTTCTTTAAGTCATCATAAGATCGTCCCTTATAAACCAAAGTTATGCATTAAAGGAAAACTTTCAATATTTGAAATAGAATGGAATGATCAATTTATAGTTGTTTAATTAATATGCAGTTGCAATTTTAAAATATATTATCAAAAATTATACGAAAACCGTATCAACAAATTTAATTTGTTCTCACTGCTTTTTTTTAAATCTATGGCATTCGTTTTCTTAGATTTGTTAACATAGATTTAATTTGTTATCTCAGATTTTTGGGTTCAATCCTTCGTTCAAATGCCTGTACCAGGTCAGGAATATGACAGTTTTTATCCGTTTGTTTGGCGTGTTTTATCTTTTTATTTTGCCATTTGATTAAGGACTTTACGTTTTGAATATTCCTCGGAGTTCAGTACTTTACTTTTTCGTAACGAATGTAATGATCTGTGATAACGAAATTAACCCTATGATCTCAAATAACAAACATCTGACATAAATGATTAAACATATTCGTTATCTGTGATGATAACGAATTATACAACTCATTTTGACGATACGTAATAACGATTATTTTGAAGATTTTTAAATTCGTAATCTCGAATTAAAATCATATGTATTACAGGCATTAAATGGACATCTGTAAATAAATGTCTTCAACTGTCTTTAATAAATATAGTGACCTGTTTAACTGATTTTAAACTTTAATTATTATGATCTGTTTATTAATGAGATTTACTAACATGCGTGAAATTCGTATAGTAATAGTTATTAATTAATTAGCTTGGTTGATCACTGCTTGCATCGCGTTAGATGCCAACAAATAATATGGAATTCGTTATATATCAAACAAAACAAAGAATCGGTTGTGTAGTGATTAAAAGCAAACAACACATAATAATGACATTGATTTATTACACACCAGCAACATACTTGTCTGTATTACCTGTGTTTTAGTAATATTTTGTTATTCATACTAGTTTGTCTCTTTTTTGTGATAATTTTGTCTGTCGTTCTTTGAGGTATGATTTCTCTATTTTCACCTTGGTATCTTTATTATTTTTTATTTGTATTGCTTCACCTGAACATAAAACCATGATAAATTAACGAACACTCTATACTTCTTTCAATGTTACGTTTTGTTTATTTTTCAATACAATATGTTCGAGATGAAGTAAAGTTTGGACAATTGAAATGAGATTATTTAGCCGGTTTAAAATAGAGTAGCAAAACTTTTATAGGATATTTCTTCTCAAAATATACGTTTATTGCACGGAAAATATAAATTTCATTTATCTACATAACACATTAAGATAATCATACTTCAATAATGGGAGTATATATTATTTTTTTTTAATAAATTTTCTAAAAGAGTCTTACTACAATTGCTTAAAATTGCTTTCTTTACCGATGACGAAATAAATAGAAATAAATAGAAATCGAAGTGTTTTAAGAACTATCGTTTGGTGTCCTCGAACCTAACTCTTGCGGTCCACTACACTAAAGTATTATCGGAACGGAAGGAGATTTTGGGTACAGTTCAGTAGTGGTACCGTCACGAAATTTAAACAAAATTGTCTTAAAGTTAGATGGACTCCATAAAAAAATACGTTAGATCGTTTTGAATACAAATATTGAGCTTTTTATCTTAAAAAAACATACCTTTAACTTTTTAATACGATATTTTTATAAATAAGATCAGAAAGCTTTGTCCCTTATCATATCTTTTAATTAAAATGTGTGCCTATTATGTAACAATTAATGTAATACTTTTGTTTTATCTGAAAGCTATAATACTTTTTCACTAAACTATTTTAAAATCGCTCCGACCTTATTTCTGATGAATAACATAGATATGGAATCTTTGTTTTATTCTTTTTTTTAATCAGTCACTTATGCCGTTTAACTTCTCACTTGTATGATTTCATTGTTTACATGAATTATTCCTTCATTGGTTATTCTTTTGTTCCTTTCACGTTTTATATCGGTTTTATTTAAACAAAAGACTCAAAAGCATATGCAAAAAAAAAAAAAAATTCAAATTCAAATCACAAAAATACTGAACTCCGAGGAAAATTCAAAGCGGAAATTCCCTATGCAAATGCCAAAATCAAAAGCTCAAACACAACAAACGAATGGATGTCAACTGTCATATTTCGGACATGGTACAGGCATTTTCTAATGTAGAAAATTATGGATTAAACCTGTATGGTACTGATTACCAATTGATGTTTCCTTTATACTTAAAACAGTTAATGAAAAAAGCTTGTGTTGTATCTTTAAGATATGAGACTTCTTCGTTAGACGAGTTTGAAATCGCTCCCATCTTAATTCTGAAGAGTACAATTGATGATGATGTTTTTGTTTTATTCTTTTTAATATCAGTCATTTATTGTCGTGTGGCTTTGCACTCGTGTGGTTTCATTGTTTACATTAATTATTCCTTCAGTCATTTTCTTTTTTTTTTGTTCACGTTTCTATCGGTTAGCCGTTGTTTTTAAAGACTCACAACCCATCAGGCACACAACATTGATTTAACAGTGAATCAATGTTTATTTTCTATGTTGAATCAATGTTGAATTATTATTAGCTTTTGCAAATTTGTATCAACGTTGAAATTCTACGTTGAATCGACGTTGATATTCAACTTTGAATCAATATTGAATAATGGTTGCTTCAACATTGTTTAAACCAATGACTTACCTTGAATTCAGGGTGAATACCATATTTAGCACGGAATCTAAATTGGTAAGTCGTTGTGTTCAACTGTGTTTTCACCTAAAACTTAAGTTTCATTCATCCTGTATTTTCTGTGTGTTGCATTCCATAATTTTATATTCAAGCTAGTGTCTTCTCAAGGCCCTCTACACATTAAATGTTACAGCAACATTCTGCCGCAGGAAACTTTATCCAATAACTGCTCCATCAGACCAAAGTATAAAAAATAATTTTAGAAAAAAATTGATGAACTTTAAATAATATCATTGCCTGGTCATATATGACATGGTGTGGGCTTTTGCTCATTGTTGAGGATTGTATGGTGACCCAAAGATATATAAATAATGTTATTTGGTTGATGATAGTCTTGTTAACAATAGGTATCAATAAAATCTTTGAATATATGCCATTGACTGTAAATTACTTAAAAGAATTTTCAACAATAAAACTGAGAGACCACATTCTTGTGATAAGAGCATGGCTTGACCATGATGATGTCAACAACCAATAAACTGAATAACAAATATGTGTGTTTAGGGCTTTCCTACGAACAATAATTTAACCCCCCAGATTGTTTTAAAATTTACCGATATGCATATAAAACCACAAGTTATCATCCCATAGAAACTTTGAAAAAATCAGCAAAAAAAATAAAAAAATATTTCAAATATTGACCTATCCTAATTTTTGAAAGCACACAACCCTTAATACACATATTCTTTGCCCAATGTCTATTCTAAATATCTGAGTGATCAAAATATAAAACAAAGTTTGCTGTTCCTGCTATATGTATTCTAATGTCCAACCACTGATTATAGAGAAATATTCAATACGATAAAATTAAAATAAATTTATTAATTTTAATGATATGCATATAAAAACACAAGTTATCATCCCAGAGAAATATTGGAAAAATCAGCAAACAAAAAAAAAATATTGCCAATATTGAACTATCCTAATTTTTGAAAGCACACAACCCTTAATACATATACTTTTTGCCCAATGTCTATTCTAAATATCTGAGTGATCAAAATATAAAACAAAGTTTGCTGTTCCTAATCCATGTATTCTAATGTCCAACCACTGATTATAGAGAAATATTCAATACGATAAAATTAAAATAAATTTATTTATTAATATTGAAAACCTCAACTTCTTTCTTCTCCCATCTTTTCTTTTTGGAGCCCATTTTAGAACGGTTGTTGTTTGGTCAGACACTTGTTGTTCCGTGATTCCATAGGTCTTCATGATGACATCTACAAAATCAAAAGTTATAACATTGTCAAGTTTAATACTGCTCAACACATTTAACTATTAATAACTTCATAATGATGATATTTAAAGTATAAATCAAAAGCATAAGAACTCGTGAAAACTTAATGAAAGTTAAACTTCCATCAAAATCTCAACTGCATTTCTTTTTATATAGACCAGAAGGTATAATCTGCAAGAAAATCCTAAATACTAAATTTTAACTTGAACAAATTGAAGGTTATTCTAACTATGTCTTTTTATATATTACTTGTGCTGCTGCAAGGATATCTGTCTGATCGACATATACGAGGGTTGTAAAGGGGGGTTTTTAACACGAAAATATGTGAAATAAAAATCTCCAAAACGCTGCACGGAAAATAAAATCGTAAATTTATATTAAGGAAAAATACTAGAAGTTATTACTCAGTCGTTCTTGGAGATCACACAGTCATGATTATGGACACGAAGACCCTGTGGTCACCTTTTCGCGTCCGCTAGTTGCATCCGATTTGAAAAAAAAAATATTCATAACTTGATAGCAATTAGTATCCTGGGACACATAATTTAAAAATCCGGACTGATTCGAATTTTAGTCCCGGTTTACTTTTTTATCAAATGTGGGACAAGCACGAGAAATTAAGTACCAACACGAAACACGGAAAAATGAATAAGGGGAAACACAAATAACGCATGACGAACCAAAGACAACAAAACGAGAAATAAAAAGGCCAAAAAACGTTGCAAATAACTCTTTACCACCCTCATATATGATATACCCTTCATCTTTGAATACCTTGTCAATACACTACTTCAATTTTCAACTACAATAAAATATTAAAGGTCCAACTTGGTGAGCCATATAGCTTCTGACCTTTCCATCCCAATTTTGTAAACAACTCAAGTCCTCCTTTTTATGAGAATTCGTGTAACTGAATTGAACAGGTAAATAAAGATAAAATTTCTTTTTACTTTTGATTCAATCATATGATGAATTCAAACAGTCAACGATAAAAATTCATGAGACGTTGCAAGGTAAATCGGGAATGGTAACATGCTAAATATCCCTCTTTTCCTCGTGTAAAATTTCAACTTTTCAGTACAGTTTTCATAACAACATGATATGCTCACATTTCTAAAATACGATACTTTATTTACTGTAGTAACAACAATTTATAAATACTTACGGTAAAATATAAAAGCTGTATACAGGAAAGATATTGATAAAAACTCTGTAGTCTTAGTTTAGAATCACCTTGTGGTCTCGAAAGCGGATATTCAAACTTTGGCAACAAAAACAACTGCATATGCGCATATCTGAATATGTCTTAAAATAGAAATGTTAAAAATGCCGCGAAAAGTTAAATCACTATTCCAATAGATCTATCGATTGTTTATATTACAAGTTATCAACCATTGTTTATGTACTGATGTATACGTCTTTCTATTTAGATTGTTAAAAAGGATAGGAAACAAGATATTTGACATTATAAGGTAAACGGGGGGGGGGGGGGGATATTTTTAGGGGAAGGGGTTATTCACAAATATTTATATTTACTGTATGGTTCTGTATGCAAGCTGCTTCTATTAATTTATTATGTTTTGGGGTGGGTTGAAATTTGAGAATTTCTATTATTTGGGGTGCAAAGTTCATGATTGATTTATGCTGATATACACTGCGATTGCTTTATATATAACTCTATAATCACCACGACAATAAGGGATAAATCTACTGAATATTCTATTTTATGTGAATATCGTTGTCAATTTAAAAAGAATTGTGTTGTGCCCAATACTTCTTTTTTTGACAATTCTGGTATCCACAACTATATATGATATTGTTTAGCCAACGTTGATTAGATGTTGGTATTTCAACACAATGTTAATTCAACGTTGAAACAATGTTCTAATTTCAACGTTGAATTGTCAACGTTGAATCAATGTTGAATATTTGTTGATCAATGTATAACCTAAAATCAACGTTGATTCAACAAAGTGTGCCTGCAGGGAAGTGACGCTCAGATTAAAAATTGAGAAAAGCTATCATCAAAACTATGTATTGGACAGGTCCGATCACTTTTCTTTACAAAGTTTGTACTTCTGTAAATATAGACAATGCAATTTTCTATAGAAACTCCTTTTACATCGAAAACTTTACCATGTTTACTATGTAGTTTTGAGAGAAAAAATATATCCTAGAATTGAAAAATCATATTCACTACTATTTTTTTCAAAGGTAAAAATATAGGTTTGTGCGGACATACTTTCGACATTTATAAGCAACGAACTTTTAAGAGTTTAAACTTGTTCTTAACTTCTGTTCTGCCCCTACCTTTACTTTTGTCTCTTTCAGAATCAAGGCTGAGGCTATACTTTTTTTATTTTAAACTGGTAACATTCCCAAGCTATATCTCGATGAAGTGAAACATAAAGATCATATCTGGGAACCAGTATGTAACAAAATAATATATCTATGAATTATATATATCTCCCCAAAAGAGGTGTGGTTTAAGAAACAGCTGTACTCACACAGTGAAACATTAAAAGAGTTGTGCCCTCGGAAATATTAATCTGGAATGTTGCTCTTAAGCCTACATTTCTTGAAGGATTGTTTTAAAATATTAAGTTTTCATCAATGTCTGGTAGGAATTCGAAAATCAGCGTCAAACAATAATTCTAATAAATAAAAATTATGTCCTTTTCAGATGTAAATGTATAGAAAATTGCATTGTGCACACTCTCAATAGAAAAAATTCTTGTCAGATAGTTATACAATTTATATCAAAGATTTATTAAATGGACATGTCTCGGACAAATCATTAATATGAGGCTTTGTAACTTTAAAGGTAAAGCAACGATTACTCTAATGATAATTGTGTTAAACCTAATGCCTTATAGATTTGGATTAAACTAATAAATCATGTTGTTAATCTTGTTTTCGAGTCGATAATTACATGAATAACATTTATTTGATAGTTAGTATTTCTGCTGTATATTGCAGTTCAACAAGTATTATTGTATCAAGGTTATTGATGTCATGCTAGTGTCATAAATAAAGGCAACAGTATTATAACGCTGTTCAAAGTCAAAAATTGATTTAGAAAAAACAAATCCAGGTTACTAACTGAAACCATGAGAAACACATACAAACGGGAAATCTTACATTGACGATACAACTCTAAAATATCTATCAATTCCTTAACATACAAGACTGGGAAAACTATATTTCCTACCTAAAATTCACAAAGTGAATGACTAGGACAAATAAACTTTAAGTAAACAAAGAGTGGTTAGACACTTATAATATTACAAGAAGACCTATTTTATCTGTATGCAACAGCTCACTTTAAAAAGTAGGTACATTCCTGAACTATTTCATTAACCCGTAGGTGAAAGAACAATGCACTAACACTAAAGAAACCACCACCTTTATTAACAAACTAGAAAAAATCAAACTTCCTCATGAGTTATGTATGTGTTCATTTGAGATTTCTTCTGTGTAAACAAATATGCTTCATGAAGATATACTTGAGACTGTGGATCGTGCCTGATCTAAGCTGACCAAATTTGGATATAAAATCCAACTTCCTCCAAAAACAGATATGTTTGAACTACTACAAAAAATCTTGAAAAAAATATTTTTTAATTTCACGAAAACATTGTTATGCAGAGAGTTGGTGTCTTAATTGGACTATCAGCCGCACAATGCCTAACAGATCTGAGAATGTTTGAAATGGTATCAGACATACTTAACCGATTCCAATATTTGGAGGACATATTAATGATTTCAATTTACAGGGAGGGTTTGTTTAAACATATTTATTTATAGTGGATTGGAAAACAAGTAGTTGCAACTTATATTGATACATTTCCACTTTGCGGGTGCGAGTGCTGCCTTTTTGCGGCATTAGCCTGCTCTTTTTTTAAAATCCACAAGGATGTCTTTTACGTGTAAGAGATATGGCTCTCTCTTAACACGGGTCAGCCCTTTATCTATCATTGATACTCAAGACCATACTCGCAAATGGTGTCAAAGGAAGAGCCGAAAATTCAGTCCCTGAAATTTTCTCCCCGGAGCTTACCACTACATCACGGCTCTCTAGGGAGGGATTTTTCATTTTTTTATTTTTTAACAAATCTGAAAAAAAAAACATTTAAAGGGAATTTATAAACAATAGGCTCCAAGGAACCTGTGTCGCTCATCAGATATTTGTATTTATAATTGATGCATGAAATTATGCAACCTTTATACTTTTGCTTTAGTTTCAGATATATATGTCAAAAACTGCATTTTTCCGCTATGTTCTATTTTCAGCCATGTCTGCCATGTTGGTTGGTACAGTAGGGTCATCGAACACCTTGTTTAAACAGGATAAACTCAAGTTCATTGTGGCTAAGTTCGTCTCAGTTGTTTCAGGGAAAAAAACGTTTGTAAAAGATTACAAAAATTTACGAAAAATTGTTAAATATGACTTAAAAGAGCAATAACTACTTATGGGGTCAATTGACCATTCCAATCATGTTGATTTATTTGTAGATCTTACTTTGTTGAGCATTATTGCTGTTTACAGTTTATATCTATCTATAATAATATTCAAGATAATAACCAAAAACTGCAAAATTTCCTAAAAATTATTAATTCAAGGGCAGTAACCACTGGCTTGACAAATTTGCTATAAATGCTTGAGTTTTAGAGATATAAGCCAAAAACTGCTTTTTACCACTATTTCTACTTTTAGAAATGTCGGCCATGTTGGTTGGCATGTGGGGTTATTGGACACATTTTTTTAAACTAAATACCCTAATAATGATTGTGACAAAATTTGGCTAAATTTATCTCAGTAGTTTCGGAGAATATTTTTGTAAGATTACAAAAATTAACGAAAAATTGTTAAAAATTTACTATAAAGGACATTAACTCATTGAACCATTAACTCATTAAGGGGTCAATTGACCATTTTGGTCAAGAGAACTGATTTGTAGATTATACTTTGCTGAACATTATTGCTGCTTACATTTTATCTCCATCTATAATAATATTCAAGATAATAACCAAAAACTGCAAAATTTCCTAAAAATTACTTATTCAAGGGCAGTAACCACTGGCTTGTCAAATTTGCTATAAATGCTTGAGTTTTAGAGATATAAGGCAAAAACTGCTTTTTACCCCTATTTCTACTTTTGGACATGTCGGCCATGTTGGTTGGCATGTGGTGTTATTGGACACATTTTTAAACTAAATACCCTAATAATGATTGTGACAAAATTTGGCTGAATTTATCTCAGTAGTTTCGGAGATGATTTTTGTAAGATTACAAAAATTAACGAAAAATTGTTAAAAATTTACTATAAAGGACATTAACTCATTAAACCATTAACTCATTAAGGGGTCAATTGACCATTTTGGTCAAGTGAACTGATTTGTAGATTTTACTTTGTTGAACATTATTGCTGCTTACATTTTATCTCCATCTATAATGATATTCAAGATCTTAACCAAAAACTGCAAAATTTACTTAAAGTTACCTATTCAGGGTCAGCAACCTACAATGTAACAACGGGTTGTCCGATTTGTCTGAAAATTTCAGGGCGGATAGATCTTCACCTGATGAACAATTTTACGAACTTGTCAGATTTGCTTTTAATGCTTTGGTTTCAGAGATATAAGCCAAAATCTGCATTTTACCTCTACAATGTATGTTCTTTTTCTAGCCATGGCGGCCATCCTGGTCGGTTGGCCGGGTCATCGAACACATTTGTAAAACTAGATACCCCAATGATGATTGTGGATAAGTTCATTTAAATTTGATCAAGTCGTTTCAGAGGATAAGTTTTTTTTTAAGTTAACGACGACGGACGACGTATGCCGGACGTCAAGTGAGCCAAAGGGCCAAGTGAGCTAAAAATCATCCACTTATTAAGGTCACACACATCATTTCAAATACCGAAATACAATTCCTAAACGTAACAATATTCAAGGGGCAGAGATTCTTGCAGGACAATATTTTTGATGTTAAACCATACCGAAAATGTACAGATAACTGCCAATACCTATACAAAACTTCTCTTATTCTAATGATGTCTTCAAAGGAATCACTATTGGTGAAGCAATAAGAATGATAAGATTGTCAAACAATGAGATCCGTAGACATACAACAGGCACATTGCTTTATAAAAGGAAAACAAAACGTATATCAACGCCACTAGATTTAGCAACTAGATACAATTCTTTGTTTAAACAATTGGCAAAAGGATAAGGAAACACTGGCACATTCTTGAGAATAATAATACTGCAAAGAAAATATTCCCAAAACCACATATAATTGCATATGAACTTCATATAAATCTGAGGGAATATCTAAAATTAACTAAACTATACTTTGAATGTAAAAAAGGAAGCACAATGAAAGATGATATATGGAACAAAAGATCCGCCAGGTGTCGTGCTCTTTAAGATA